CCCGCCGGTGCCCCCACCCCCGCCCCCCAGACCCCCGCCCTGCCCCTCAGAGCTCAGGGCCTCCCGGCCCCGCCCCTTCCCGTTTGACCCCGCCCCTTCCACCGGGCCCCGCCCCTTCCACCGGGCCCCGCCCACTGCCCCCATGAGCCTCACCATCTTGTTCACGATGACGATCTTGGGCCCCAGCTGTTTGTTGACCGTGAAGATATGCAGCAGCCGCAGTGTGAAGACCATGAAGTCCAGGCAGAGGACGGTGTGGCCAAGGTCGTACAGGCCCGGGTTCAGCCTGGAGTGTGGGGAGACAAGGGGGGGTCACTCCAGTCAGGAAGCAAAAGAAAACAGGCGTCAGTCTTTGCAACACCAAGCCTCGGATGAAGCCTGGCGGCCACAGGGCAAGCCAGGACGCTCTGGTTTCCCGAGGGTTTACTCAGATCTACTGGGTGTCGAGCTGGGCCGTGTAGGGCGCCAGCACCCATGAAGTCACCACTGAAGGGACTGCGGCTTTGGCAAAAAGCCAGGAGGTGCCTATAGGGATCCAACTGGAGAAAATGCCAGAGTTTTAGTCCAACCTATGACAACAAAGTACCATACATGGTTCCTGCAAAGCACTCAGCGACGGCAAGCCCCTGCCAGGGCCAGATGAGGACTGTATAACCCAGACGAAGGCCAAGGGCCAGCGCGTATCAACGGTTCTATTTTTTTAAGAATATTTTTTAACTTCATTGATTTTTTTTTTTTTTTTGGAGAGGTTTTTGCTATAGGGCGTGTGCGCTCGCCAGACAGACAGAGAGAGACAGAGAGACAGAAAGCGAGAAATCCCCCCCCCAGGGGGGATGGCCACGCCGCAATTCCTTCTCCTCCATTCTCCTCTTGGGATCTTGGGCACGCACATACACACACACACACACACACACGCCCTCCCGGCCTGACTTTAAGCCACCGGGTCTGGGACTCGAACCACGGTCAACTACGTGGGAGTCCAGCAACATAGCCATGATGCTAACTCCTGGCAACTAATCTTTATTGATTTTAATTTGACCAGAGGGGGAAAGAGAAAGACAGAGGAAGCAAGCCTCCAGGTCTGAGACCCAACTGCAGTCAGCCACGTGAGAGTCCAGTCCTCAACCGGCTCACCACCTGCTGGGCCCTCCACAGTTCTCAGGGAAAATTAAAAGTGGAATATCCCTATTTTTCATGACCATGTACTTAAACTTCAGAATGGATTAAAAGCCTAAGTGTAGGCGTCAGCAGGTGTTGTAGTGGTTAAAACACAGGACTCCCACATAGCTAACAGCCGTTCAAGACCCAGACCTGGTGGACTGAAAATCATGCCAGGCATGTGGGCGTGGGAGCTCCAACTCCCAGAGCAGACTGGAAAAAGGATCGCGGCATGACCATAACCCCAGGGGAGCACGTGCACCCTGAGGCAAAAACCTTCTACCATAAAAACAAAACAAACAAACAAAACCATGGCAAACCAGCTCCTGGTGTGGCAGTTCAGGCAGCTGGATCCCCCAAAGCCAAGTGCACAGTTCAAACCCTGGACCTGGTCGCTTGATAAACATTCTGGCCATGTGTGCATGAGTGCTTAAAATCGCAAAACGAGGGAGAAGTAGGGAGGAGACTGTAGGGTGACCATCCACGTCTCACTGGTCATAGACGGAGAGAGAGAAGATGAGAACGCATGCCCGGAGGGGTGCCACCCTCTTGCAAATTTGGTTTTAAAAGTACATGGAGGGACCAGCAGTTGGCGTAATGACTACGTCGCTGGACTCCCATGTAGATGACCACGGTTTGAGTCCAGGACCTGGTGGCTTAAATCATGCCAGGTGCGTGTGCGTGCGTGCCCAGGATTTTGAGAGGAGAATGGAGGAGAAGTGTTTGAGGCATGGCCATCCCCTCTGGGGAGTGATTTCTCGCTTTCTGTCTCTCTATCTCTGGCGAACGCATGCACCCTATAGCCAAAACCTCTTCAAGAAAATTTAAAAAGTACATGGAAAATGGAATTAAAAGAGAAGTTTATTTAGTACAAAAAAATTTCAAATTTGTGCATAGTTTATTGTTTAAATAAATTTAAAAAACCCTACAGGGCCAGCAGGTGACATGGTGGCTAAGGGTGTTGGACTCCCACATGGCCGACCACAGTTTAAGTCTCAGACCTGGCAGCTTCCTTTCTAACTTTCTCTCTGTCTCTCTCTCTTGCTCTGTCTCTCTCTGGTCAAAATATAAATAAATAAATAAAGTTAAATAAAATTCTTAAAAAAGATAGCCTACATATCTTCCTAGAGGGGACCGACAAAGTATAACCCATCCACTCATCCGGGGTGACTGGGCATTTCTCCCTCGAAAGCCAGGATCTTTCTATTTCTCCAAGCAATAATTCTTTCACCTGCAAAGCGATTTGCTTCAAAAGTGTTCGGAATGTCGCTCGCATTCCTAGAACATGTAGCAAGGGCACGCCTGTGGCCCTTTCCTCTCAAAAGACACTTTAAACAACTGCGAGGGATAAACAGAGCTGTTAGTGTTCTGCAGGAATCTCTTACCTCCCTCTCTGAATAAATCATTCACGTCAGATACTTTGTCACAGTAGTTTTTTTTTTTTTTTTTGAAGTCTTTTTTCCTCTTTTTTAAAAGATTTATTTGGTGGGATCAGCAGTTAGCATAATGGCTACATCACTGGACTCCCATGTAGTTGACTGCAGTTCAAGTCCCAGACCCGGTGGCTTAAACTCATGCCGGGCGCGTATACGTGTGTGCCCAAGATCCCGAGAGGAGAAAGGAGGAGAAGGGATTGTGGCATGGCCATCCCCCCTGGAGGGGTGATTTCTCACTTTCTGTCTGTCTCTCTGGTGAGCACACGTGCCCTGTAGCAGAAACCTCTCCAAAAAAATAAATAAATAAATAATAAAATAAAATTTTAAAAAATTACTTAGGACCAGCAGATGGCGAAATGGTTACATCACTGGGACTCCCATGTGGCCAACTGCAGTTAGAGTCCCAGACCGAGAGGCTTGAAACTCACACTGGGCCCGTGTGCATGTGTCCCCAAATCCCGAGAATGAAGGAGAAGGGACTGCAGCATGGCCAGTCAGCCAATCACCCCTGGGGGTGACTTCTTGCTTTCCGTCTCTCTGGAGAGCACACACACCCTATAGCAAAAATGTCTCTTTTAAAAAAAAGAAGAAAAATAATTACTTATTTAGTTTTGTTCTTTGTCATCATCATTGTTATTCTCTTAATTCGCTGTAGGGTATGTGCACTTACCAGGGAGAGAGAGAGAAGGTGAGAAAGCAAGCCACCAGGTCTGGGATTCAAACTGCCGTCAGCCGAGTGGGAGTCTAGCACCCCCAACCACCATGCCACCTGCCGGCCCCCCTTTGTAACATTTCTTTCTTTCTCTTTTTAAAATTATTTATTTAATTTCATTTATTCATTCATTTATTTATTTTAATTTGACCAGAGAGAGAGAAGGAAGTGAGAAAGTGAGCCAGCAGGGCCGGGACTCAAACACGGCCGGCCATGTGGGAGTGTCCGCCTCAACCACCACGCCCCCTGCTGGTCCCCCCCTGCTGGTCCCCCTCGTAACATTGCCAACACAGCACGAAGGAAGCCTGCCTCTCAGGGTGTTGGGTGGGAAAAGCTTGAGTGGGGGTCATCACTGCCCACTGTCCAGGTTTGACCTTTTCTCCTTTAGGTGTCTGTCTAGCTTCTGTGAGAGACGAGAGTGAGCACACCCCCAAAAGGGTTTAAACTCCATGACTCACCCCAGCCTCGGCCGGCCCCAGATCTCGGGCAAGTGGGCACCTGGCGTCTCTGGACTTAACCCAGGCGTGTTTCCGTGTGGGATTGCCTCAGAGTTTCATTCACTGCCACGCCGTCTACCCTCGCCTCCCAGCCCAGGGTGTGTGTGTGCGCGTGTGTGTGCGCGTGCACACGTGTAAGAGACAGAGAAAGCCCCAGTAGGGCCTCGTCATGAGGCCCAATTTTCCCCCATTTCTCCATTTATTAGGATCCTTTTTTCCCGCCGTGTTTCTGTCATTTGGGGCCCTGGGCATGCAGTGGTGGGGCGAAGGGTGGCGGGTCCCCGTAAGCAGTCTCCAGGTTGTGTCTATAATGCCTTCTGTGGACTGGAAAAAGAGCAGCGAATCTCGGACTGTAACTTCCTGTTATCTCGAGTAGACAATGAAAATGGGCCAGGTGGCACAGTGGTTAAGGTAGCCGGATCCTGGGCCAGCAGGTGGCATGATGGTTAGGGGCACTGGACTCCCACATGGCCAACAGTGGTTCGAGTCCCGGACCTGGAGGCTTGCTTTCTCACTTTCCTCCTCTCTCTCTGGAAATAGTAAAATAATGACAATAAATAAAGTTAAATAATAATTTTTAAAAAAATAGGTAGCTGGATCCCATATGGACGATAACACAGCTCAAGTCTGGACCCAGTGACTGGAAAAATATGTTACATGTCCACAGTCTGTCCAGGGTGCTGGGCAGGAGGCGGGGACAGGCCAGCCTTGGGGGTAGGAGGTGGCCCGAGAGGTGAGGCAGAGGCTGCGCTGAGGTGTACATGGAGCTGGGGGCCAGGCCGGGAGGCCGGGCTGGGACCCACAGGACATGAAGAAGGGGGGCAAGGATGGCCCAGTGTCCAACCTGGTGCCCTGGGGAAGACACTGAGCTCTGCAGGGACCACTGCAGGGGGCTCTGGGGGCTCCCAGAGACATGGGGACCCTCCCCACCTAGCAATAAACAGGTCTGAGTTTTCGTCCTCTCACCCCTAAAGCCAGGTGAGCCGTGAGGCCGCCAATCCCTTCGGGGCACTAACTGCACACTACTTTCTCTGACAGGGTTCGTTCGTTTAACAATAGCAAAGTGGGCTTGAAACTGCTGCAGAGACCCTGAGCTTAGGGTCCCTCCCTCCCAGGAAGCGGCAGAACACGCGGGGCTGGGGTCCCGGGCACTCACCGGCAGCCTACGCCCAGCAGGAAGAAGGCGAGGGCCACCAGGTCGCACTGGTTCCAGGTGTCGTTGAGGTAGAGCTGCAGCCGCTGGCGCAGCGGTGTGTGGCGCCCCGTGTGCCCGGGCCCCCCCAGCCGCCGCTCAGGCTCTGGCGGAACTCCTCGCACAGCAGCGTGAAGGCCCAGAAGTACAGCAGCAGCTCCGTGGCGCCGGGCCGGCCGGGCCGCAGGTCGACCAGCAGCACGTGTGAGAACAGCAGCAGGAACAGCAGGTAGCTCACCACGTTGCCCATGAAGGCCGTCACCGGCGCGCCCCAGAAGTGGGACCACTGGCCCAGGCACTGGCGCTTCTGGCACATTCTGCAGCTGTCCTTGTGGTGGCGCGTGACCACCGGCAACGTATCCTCGGGGATCTCCACCAGCCTGGCGAGGGGAGACCAGGGGACAGGTCTTAGCTTGGCCTCTGAACCCTGACCCTCAGCATTACCAAGACCTCCGCTTAGCCCGTCTGACCTCCTCCTGCAGCGGGACGGCCTCTGCCCCTGCCTGACCGGAAACGAAGTCAGACTTTGTACCTCCTTGACTTCTGACCTCTGCATCTAACCTCTGACCTCTGAAATCTCCTGTCATCAAGACAGCTGTCCTTGGGAACCAGCAGGTAGCGTAATGGCTATGTCGCTGGACTCCCACATAGTCGACCGCGGTTCGCATACCGGACCCGGTGGCTTAAAACTCACGCCAGGTGCGTGTGCGTGCGTGCCCAAGATCCTGAGAGGAGAATGGAGGAGAAGGGATTGCGGCGTGGCCATCCCCCCTGGGGGGTGATTTCTCGCTTTCTGTCTCTCTGTCTCTTTCTGTCTGGCGAGTGCACGCGCCCTATAGTGAAAACCTCTCCAAAAAAAAAGACAGTTGGCCTTCCCATCTGACTTCCCTCACCCTTCTCACCTCTGACCCCCAAGCTGATCTCTGACCCATGCTTGGCTTTGTTTTTTTTTGAAGAGTTTTTGTTTGTTTGTTTGTTTGTTTTTGCTATAAGGCGCATGTGCTCGCCAGAAAGGCAGAGAGAGACAGAGAGACAGAAAGCAAGAAATCACCCCCCGAGGGGATGGCCACACCGCAATCCCTTCTCCTCCATTCTCCTCTTGGGATCTTGGGCACGCACGCACACGCGCCCGGCGTGAGTTTTAAGCCACCGGGTCCGGGACGCGAACTGCGGTCGACTACGTGAGAGTCCAGCAACATAGCCATTACGCTAACTGCTGGTCCCCAAGAATTATTTATTTAATTTTATTACTTTTAAAATTTGACCAGAGAGAAACAGCCAGAGAGAAAAAGGGAAAGTGAGGAAGCAGACCACAGTCAGCCATGTAGAAGTCCAGCGCCTTAACCATCACACTGCCTGATGCTTCCTATTACTGTAAACTTAGAACTTACACACATGGGACCAGCAGTTGGCATAATGGCTATGTCATCGGACTTCCATTTAGTCGACCATGGCTCAAGTCCCGGACCCAGTGGCTTAAACTCACGTCTGGCGCATGTGCATGCGTGCCCAAGATCCCAAGAGGAGAATGGAAGAGAAGGGATTGCGGCATGGCCATCACCGCTGGGGGGTGATTTCTCGCTTTCTGTCTCTCTGTCTCTCTCTGT